TGCTTCTCTGGTGTCGTGGGACTGACCAGATGATGGCACAATGGTCACTTTGAGTGCAGATATCCGTTACCTTCCAGCAGGTACTACCTTTGGCCAGTCCGCTGCTNATGAACGTAAGGTCGATCATCGAGCTGGCTTCTCCCCTAACAAACGTCGGTTTGTCTCCATCATTGAGCAGTGTGATGTCCAGCGCGGAAAACGCTTCTAAGAGTACTTGTCCCCTTTTCTTCGTTTCCTTACTACCCCATTCCACTGCCCATGCGTTGAAATCTCCGGCGATAGCTATTGGGCTCCGGTCTTTGGCGTCCCCGACGAGCCGGTCCACTACCTCTTCGAAGTCCTGCTGCGACATGCTGGGGGGCATGTAGCAGCTGTAGAAGTGGATACCTCCTATCTTCGCCCTCACGAAATACTTTTGCGGATCTTTCATAACCTCCTGGAAGGGTTGTTTGCCGCAAGCCCAGATAGCTGCTGAGCCTGTTGCATCTATCCTCCAGGAGAGTCCGTCGACGTTCCGATACTGGTCAGCAACTATGACCACCTCTACTTTATTCTCACGCACTGTTTGAGAGAGCAGATCTTGTGCTGCCCCACAGTGGTTGAGGTTTATTTGCAGTACCTTCAGCGCCATTTTTGGAGAAAGGCCTGATACGCCTTCTCATATACTGAGCACTTTCTGCTCCCAGGAATGTGGTGCGTTTCTTTGCTGCCCACCTCTTTGCAGAGGCTGCAGCATGGTGTTGCTGTACAACCCTCTGCCTTATGGCCTTCTTCTCCGCACTTAATGCAGTTCTTTGATCTGTCGATCTCCGAAGTGCACTTTTTTGTGATGTGCCCATACTGCCAGCACCTGAAGCACTTGGTAGGCCTTGCGACCTCTCGCACTCGGCAGTTCGACCAGCTCACCCGGATAGTCTGCTTTTGTAGAAGCTTTCTCGCTGCCTCGGTTGGTAGACGGAGAGTTGCAGTCTGCATGCCACCATACGTCCTCCTGACGGATATGACTGCCTCNGCTCCCGCGCTGGGATTCTCGCCTAATTCCCGTGTTAGCGCTTCGCTTATCTCCTCCTTGGTGATAGTTCCGTCTAAGCGCGTGACCTCCAGGGTCATTTGTTGTACTCGCGCGTTAATGGTGGCATCTTCGCCGAGCGCCGTACCAATCCTCTGCTGGAGTTCGGAGATTTTGTCCTGCTTATCTTTATTAATGATAAGAAGGACATCGCCAGACAATGTCTTGCGTACTCCCGATACTGCAAGACTCACTTCCTGAAGAGCGACATCCTTCTTCACCTTGCTGAGGACATCCGCGTAGGTCTTTCCCTCAGATGGTGTGATGAGTAGGGCACTGGGGCGCACTCGTTTGTTGAGTTGCCTCGGTTTCTCACCCTTTCTTTTTTGTGTGTTCTCCTTTTTCTTTTTCTTCTTTCTGGTCTCCACCCTTTCCCATGGAGGATCTGTCGGTGTCTTGTCCGGTAAGNGCACATCGATCTCCATCTCTGAGTCCGAATCAACTGGCTGGATGTTTTTCTGTTTCCCCTTCCTCCTCTTAACGTCCCAACCTGTTTGGCTATCACGTTGAGGAGGTGTGATGTCTTTCCTCTTGCTGGGTGTATCTACCGTTCCACCTGGTGGTCCATGTGCGATTTTAGTTGCTCTGACCATTGCTGCAAAAGACGGTGAAGTCTGCTGCCCCACCGCTTTTTTAGGCGCGATGATCATCTCCACAAATCCATCGTCCAACCGTTTGAGCGTCCTGAACGTCGTTTTCAGCCCATTTGCCATCTTTTTTATGTCTCCATGGACATTCATCCTTGGCGTTATAAAGGCTATCAGGGATTCGATCTGGTCCCCCAGCTTTTCAATCTCCTTGTTCCACGTCTTCACGTGTCCTTCACTTGGTGCTTTAAACACAGGAGAGGCCAAGTGGTCCACCTCTACTGTGCTGCAGTTGCTTGATGACGACGGACGGGAGCCTGCTTGCGCACACCCGAACGCCGGCACTGGGGTATCCCTCCCCTGCACCGTAAACGTAGGTTTCCTGATTAGATCAGCCATAGTTTTTCATTTTGTTTTGTGTTTGTTTTATGTTGTCCAGCAACACGTCTCGGTGGCAGTATCACCTCTGCCCCTGGCTCTAAGGTCTTCGGCCCTTGGTGTTGTGTCTGTCGTTTAGTTTAGTTGTGTTTTGTCCGCGGGGGCTATTTTATTTCACCCCTACCCTGTTTCGCTTATTGCGACTTTCGGGCTTTCCCCTATCCGCAACCTTGGGGACGCGCCACGTAGCAGTGCACCTCAGCCCGTGGTGTGTGTGTGTGTGTG